CCCCAAAACCCCAAAACCCCAAAACCCCAAAACCCCAAAACCCCGGTCCCTTTTGGAGAGTTGAAAACTTAAAGAAGCTTATCAATTCCTAGCTCGTTAATTTTGCTTTTTAGGACTAGGTTTCCATTTGAGAAGGCTGTGCCAAGATACCTTATTTTTGATTTCTCTGAGAGATCTGTTACCATTTGGAAGACCAGCTCCCATAAGTTAAGAGCTTCCATGAGCACAGAAATGAAGTCCTCTGCAGTGATGTATTTAAGCCATGGCTTTAAGGCATCTGAAAATGAAGACTCCTGATTCTCGGATGTGGATGGTTTAAACTGTAGAACTGATTTTAGAATAGTTGCAAACAATAGTCCATTGTTATCCTTGAACTTTATGTGGTTGAATAATTTCCCATGCTCCTCTGGTCTGACTTTTTGTTCTGTATGGATCAATCTGTGCAATGAGGTTTCAAAGTAACTTCTAATTGAATCTTTGAGTGTGTTTGAGATATAATAAAAGCTCTTTAGTTCTTTATCCTCTTGGATTGCGCAAATATTCCATGGTTCTGAAAGCTCAATATCCAGTAGAGATACTACCCCTCAGACAAGATTAATGGCATTTTCTTCGAGAGATTTTTCGGAATTTGTTACTGCAGAAAAATCCAATAAGAATCCAGTTTTAATCATAAGGAGGATAATGAATAGATGTTGGTCATCATTTAGATCATGAACATTGGCGTAGAAACTAGCAATATCCTTAATTCCTGCTTCTGTATAGAAGTTTAGCTCCTTAAGTAAATTTAGAATGATTAATGTCCATATATGGTTTTTATTAAAACGTGTCTGGCTGGTTGAGGACTCTGTCTCTTTTTCTTCGTCAAAATACTTCATTAACAATTCTCAGGTGAATCTAAATGTGTTTAGCTTCTTCTCGTTAGTCCCGTCTATTAGCTCATATACTTCTTCAGAGTTAATTATTTTCACTAGCAATGGATCGTAAAGGTCGGATCCTTGCTCTTTATCTTCCTCTATGCTAGAAGCCGACGATATATTTTGAGTAGCTTTTGAGAAAATATCTGAGTGAATTTTTAAATACTTTTGCTCCAAAGGAGTAACGAGTTGGGGTTTCAACTTTCCTTCTTCATTTAGTCCGAGAGTCTGCAAATCTAAGACTTTTGGAGCAAATTTGCCAAGGAAAAGGGAAAAGTAGGCTATCTTGCTATGCCTCTTCCCGTAGATATCCTCCCTGAGATGGTAAACTGCTTTGCTATCAGTTGAAGTAGAGAGAGCTTGGACTTCAAATTCAAGGTTGAGAATGAAAGGATTCTCAAGGATTTGTCAGATACCTTTCAACTTCTCATCCTTGAGGAAATACTTATCATCATTGTTTCATTTGAAGGCCTGTCTCTGGATGCTATCCACCGTATTAAACTTGTGCTTCTCTCCATTTTGTGTGATATACCCATTATTGAGGAACATTTTTGCTAGTCAGCTCTTTTTATTAAGATTGTGGTCTTTTCTATATTTAACCCACTCTATTTCTCCGCTTGTGAGGTCGATATCTATTATGAAGTTGTAGTATACATAAAGTAATAAATCTGGGTATCCTCAGATGCTTGAAGCTAAGTAGTTGTCATGAAGGAAAAATATCTGTGGAGTAGCGTTGTATGGAGCAAACATGCAAGTATGTGAATAATTGCTATCTTTAAGCACCTGCACTGCTTTGACCAGCTCTGAAGCACCGAAATTATCGTATGGATATAATGAGTCAATATGAGGGCTTTCCTCTTCCTCTGAGGTAGTGCTGATAACATCAGCATATGCTTTTGGAGTGATCCCATCGAAGATTATTTTGAGTTTGATTTTGTAGCTGCTGATTCCTACCAAGAAGTCCACAATGCAATTGTATATCACAGAGCTACTCTCAGGAGTGACATGAGCTGCTTTAGACTCTTCATTGCCAGATTTTAGAAAATTGTTCCAAGCCAGCTCAATGACTTTCTTATAGTGGATTATTACATCGTGGTCATAGATGGTATCTAAAATTTTGCTCTTGTTTGTGAGATCCTGGCTTCTCAAAAACTCTTCAAAAGTTTTTAGGAACTTAAAGTTGACTCCTTGGTTCTTAAAGAGAGGAATCTGAGGAATGGATATTGATTCAGCCATTATTAATATAATATTTAATATTAATTTCAAGTACCTCCTTAGGGCAGGGGTTTTGGGGTTTTGGGGTTTTGGGGTTTTGGGG